TCGCCGCTTCATATCCCGTGGATGAAGTTTAAGCAAGGCCTGTGTTTTTTTTTTTTCGATGCTCTGTGACTGTCACTGATACTGCTTCGTTTGCTTGGATTGGTTGGAGTAGAAAATTGGTGAATTAATTTAGCCAATCCTTGGGCCCGCGGGTCACAGTTGAACAAGGCATGAGCTCCCGATACCGAGCCTGACAAGCCTACCGAGACTACACCCGCTTCGTTGTTCCCCGTGCAAGTGTTTATTTTTAGTCGAGCAAAAACAGAAGTGCGTCTGTTGATCTCGTCATTGGCAATGCATACCAAGCGGAAGAAATCGAAGAAAGCGACGAGGTCAAGGAAGAAGACTACCCCGTATGTACCTGCAAAGGGCGGCCCCGATGACGTCGAACAGGTGGGCCATTCGCGCCTGGGGGTACGACCCCCTAGCCCCCCCCCCGCCGTCGGCCTTCCAAACTTCGTCCAACGCCGTGTGGGTAATATCCATCAGCTCTTCGAGCTGTCGTGAAAATCGCCCGGCAAAGAAAACATGACAGCGAGCTGAATTTCGATCAAAAAAACTTTGAATATCCGCATGCGCGAATGGGAAAAAAAACTCGAACGCCGCTCGCGGCGGGAGGTGGAGTTGCGTGCGGCAATATTCTAAAACTACTGTCGCAATTTGCAGCAGAGTTGCGGATGAGATGAATACGGGTTTAGCGTTGTGGATTGCAATGGCCTTCCTCGAATGGTTTCTTGCCACCCCCCCAGCACATCCTCCCGTCTGTTGGGCTACTTGTAGTCGGTCTCGGTACTAGAAAACTCACCGGTTGATATCCTGATATGTATATCGAAGGAAGCGGTGCCCCAGACTAAATTTCCTTACTTTAGTGCGACTTCCACCGCCCTAGCGCCATGAAAAAGGATAAACTCCTCCCCCGATTCCAATGTCATTCCTCGGGACCAATTTTATGCTTCATCGGCTAATTGTTTTCGCGTGCGCTTCGGGGGGGCTCGCACGACAAGTGGAAGCGAACCCGCCCGACGGATCTGTTTGCCGCACTCATCGCCACGCACCTCCTCCGTCTGAAGGCCCGAAAGAGCGGCGAACGGTTCCCGCAAAGGCTCCAGCGCCCTCGCCACCGCTGTCACGAGTTCCCTGTCGGCTGCTCTCCCGGAGTATCTGCGGCACCCAGGACACAGAATATGCTATTGCGCACAACCGGTTCGAAGCGCAAATAGACCGCAAGGCTTGCTTCCAAGGAGCTACATGGTGCGACTATTGGCTGCTTCATGTTGTGCCGCGAACGAAGCGCATCATTGGGCGATCGCGCCTCCAACTCCCCCGTCATCTGTCACAACTGCAGTTTCCTTCTCAGTACATACAACCGGTGGAGTAATTCGTAGCCTGCTCAATCAGGCAGGATCGGGACTCGTGCGAAGCGAACACAATTCCTTCTATGAGTACGATTGCGTATAGAAAACGTTCCGGGGTCGGTTGTGGTTCGCGGTCATGCAAAGTGAAGCCGAACCCTAGTTATTCTTTCCGTCGAGTCCACTCCTGGCGCACAGAGACATACCGTCCATACATGTGGTGGAGGGATTTCCCAAGTCCTACGGCAACATGTGCAGATTGTCGCCGTCTCAATGTTCCACTCACCCCGACCAAAATTGGAACTCGTCGGAAGGGTACACGATGCCCCCGAAACAGGAAAGATTTCCATTCTGCCGCGATGTGTTGCCCTTCCGGTCTTCGTTACTGTTGTTGTTGTGGCTGCTGTTGTCGTTGTCGTGGCTAATATCCCCGCCTCCGCCGTATATGACCGCGTCGCCAAGAGTGGAATCCAGCAGGGCGATCACGGACTGTGATAGGCGGGTATTGATAGATAAGTATTGTGTTTTTCAATTATCGAGGTGTCGCTGTTCTTCTTCTTTTTGGTTGCAGGAAGCTGCTGCTGCTGCTATGCGTGCCTATCGAATCAGCCCCCTGTTAGATGATGATGTTCCAATGTAGATGGCAGCGACGTCCGTTGTCGTAGACCCGCACGACGACACAGTCCGTTGAGACGATTTCGCTTGCTACGGTTTCCAGATCATCGTCGACCATGCAAGGGCGTTTTCGTTGAAACTACAAGTGGCCCGAAAATTCTGCGTATCACGAAACATGATTAGGATGCTTTCACGGGGTTGGTCACACGCACGCATGGCCTTTGAACGGCCCGTTGTTCCCATGACATCCCTTGAGTTCGTTAAGGGTTGCACACTTCGGGTAAGCATCGTTGGGATTCCCAAGTGACGAGATGAACTCGTAGAGATGGACTCATTTTCGCTTTGCTGCCGGCAAAGCGAAGAGCATCGCCAGCGCCGACAACGAAACATGAAGAGGAAACTAGATGTGTTCGTTGGGTTTCTAATCACGGAAAAGACCCGTTCAACGAGGAAAAAAATCCCCCTTTGAGAGCGTTGGCGCTAGAACTCTCTCTGAGTGGAATCTAGGGTCATGGCAGCACCGAAACCATTGCGCGGCCGGGTTGTGCTGTGTGCGGGTCATGGTTCATACGACGTAGTGCTAGGAGGATGGCTCGTTCAAAGGCGGAATCACGTATGAGATTATGACAAACCATGTAGGCATTATGTCATGTTAGCCCCCCTGGAGATGTTGCCGGTTCCAAAATGTCTTTGACAGCTCCGAACGCCACATTGTTCTCAACAACAGTCCCTTTGTCACACATCATCAGTTCGTTCGACCATGAACTGTTCTCAAGAACAGAGGATCGTGTGCTCGTGTTGAGTCATCACCTGGACCTTTCCGCTGAGCTCCTGCCTGCCGGCCTCGTTTTTCAGCAAGGCGGGGGCGTAGACTGAATGGACCGAATGATACAGGCTATTCAGCGGGGACCCTGTCATCGAGGACACCTGTTTTTCCGCACGGCGTTGCAGATGCCATATATTGGTCGGGTGGGTTGGTTGAGGCTTCAGCTGTAGATGGAGGAACGAGCGATGGGTTGGTTTCTTCTGTGCTGATGCAAGCTGCTTGGGTGGGTTGAGGCGAAGGGTGAACGCTTAAAGAGAAACACAAGTCGTTCGCGGATATTAACGGAATCAGGCATGGATAACGGTACCGTTGTGACCCTTGATGGAAGTTTTAGCGGCACAAAATGCGAAAAAAAAGAGTCGACCTTGGGCACAAGTATACCTGCACGAGGCTCCTAATGTTGCCGCCCGTGACAGGTTCAGGCCTTAGCTTCACGAAATGAAGACCGACGCGACCTTCGGCCGGCGATTCATCCTCATCTCCACCCTCTTTCGTCTCTGTCGGATGAAGTCGAGTCGATTCATGCCGTGTTCGATCACGGGTCATGGATGCACGCAAGCGGGCATTGAAAAACCCGATAAGAAGGGCGTTTGAGCCTCACTGATGTGCTCACGCAGGTTAATCCGCCCCCGCGGCCATACGTGGGAATTTCGAGATTTATCATCGTGCAACGTTAAGCCCCGTCAGCCAGTGTCGTTGTTGATAGGGTTCCTGATGTGTTTGTGGTTGACCGTGGAGGCACAGCAGTTTCTCGTTGACAGGACATCAATGAAGCCCCGTGCGGTTGCTTGCGGACGTCGGGTGCGCAAACTCAACCGACGAAGAATTTGTATCAGGGTAAGCTAACACAGGGAGGAATTGCTCAGAACTATGTAGTGTTGTATTTTTATCAAGCGGAAATTGGGAGTTTGATCTTCGGCGGCTGAACAAACGAAAGTGTACTACGTAGCTTCAACGGACGGAGCCCCCCCGAGGCCTAGAAGGGGCATCGACAACGAATATCAAGTGTTCTCTGTACCTCGCTCTGAGCCTCCATCGAGAAGCTCGAGGCCGTTGTCCAGTCGCAGGTCTCCACCAGGGTGTGCCCGCACACACAAGACGGCGGTATTCGGGTCGTCCAGGAACAGCTGCAACTCTTTTCTCCCCTGCACAGCTCGGAGAATTTCGTCCCTCGTGCTCTTCTGTAATAGAGTAAAGGCCGAAGCACAACTCTTCGGTTGTTTCCACGCCTTCGATGAGTTGACTGGTTGGGGGTCCAGCAACACAGCTAAACATTGTTTCTTACCGCCCACGGGTCTGCTATAAGGTGCAGTTTTCATCATCACCACCAGAAAACGCTGCACGTTTTCCTTGCCACATCGTCAGAACTATTTGCTGCAGTTGCAGCAGCACGGAGAAGGAGGGGCTAAAATCCATCCCCCGAAGGCAGGAGGTACGAAAGGGCAACGTGACAGGTCTTACACCGGAAGCGAAACTAGTGCTGGTTGCTGGCGAACCTACTGCGACGCCCCGTTCCACGCAGGGCAAGCCGAGGGGACGCCTGCTCAGGAATACCCTCACGGTAGACCGTTGAAACACACCATGTAGGTGGTATTCTTGCCGCAACCTTCAAGGGATCCGACCCCAGAAACTCTCTACGTTCGCTGTTAATCTAGGCTTCGGTGTTCCACTTCTTTCCTGACAGTTTCCTTCCCCATAGATCATGTGCTACTGACTTTCCTGAGAGTTTCCTTCCCCATAGATCATGTGCTACTGACAATGGGATTTTCCTTCTACATCACCATCGGTCTCGAGCGTGCTACCGGGCATGGCCGTTCAAATGGCTTCATACTCTAGCCCTGACCAAGCAGGAAGGTACCAGTTGCAACCCAGACGGAACTATGCATTTGGAGGCTTCGCACCTCACTGCTCAAGCCAGCGATTACATCGGCGATGTAGTCTTCGCGCTTGTCTAGCATGATGCTCAGGTGTCAAGCCAGCCCGAGCTTCAACAGGCAGCCCTGATCTCCCACAAACAGCTGTGCAGCAGCCCACAAGCGAAATGGTAATAGCACCAGCATTCGGCAATGCCCAGCACCAAGAAGTGCTACTGAGAGGGCGAAAGTCTAGCCCAGACTACAATAACTTCAGCACGAGGCGCGCGCTTATGGTGTTGCTCCGAGAAAGTGCAGGGTTAATTAAGCAAGCGGTTTCTGCTGCTGTAACAGCAGACGACATGGTACCGGTGAATATGTACTGCGGAATTGTTTATGATTCAGCTTTCGAGTGGGGGAAGACGGGCGGAAGCTATCGTCTACACGTGGTCCCTGTTTGTTTACTGTAGCTTAATCTAGGGCAGGCATTATTCTTCCTGCCTGGCCGTGTGCATGTCACCCTACCGAAGCAGCCTTTTGCTATTTCTGCTCTATAGCGGGAACACATGCAGTCTTTCGCACAAGTAAACACACCCTCTTGTGAGTCCATTACTTTCGTTTTCGTTTGTACCCTGATTTGGATGAACTTGTGATGTCGGACATTCGCCTCTTGAGACGAGTTCTGCCTTTGCAAGCCGTCTACAGGGAACAGGAGGTGATGGGTTACAGTACGTACTGCTGTACGTCTCCATAGTCGAAAGCATAGAACGGTTGTTTCTCTGAAGCACAATAGAAAGGATAGAGGTGCGGCAACAGGAACGTGTTGCAAAGCCCAACACATGCTGACGACGTACACTAGACCCTGCACATCTACGGCTGGTAGATGTGAACAAATGTACGATGCCCTACTGGGTACTACAAATGGAATTCCTTTGTAGACTGCACTTGTTCAGCCTACAGCAAGCTGGGCGGACTAGTGTAATAAATAGCAGTCTGCACAGCATGGCATTGGGTCAGAGAGACAGGAACGATGAACGCTGAATACATTCAAGTACATATTCAAGTTCTCAGCACAGCATCCAAAGGGCAGTAGCTAAAGCTGGGGGAAATGTCGGATCCGAGAGGAGAAAAGCGTCAATCGAGCGTTTATAGCGAAAGATCCGTTCTCAGGGCGACGGGATGCCGTGGGGTGTGAGGTTGGTATGTATGTATGCACAAGAGACGGCGAGAGCTAAACCAGGCAGTGCGCGGTGTGAGACGGCACAACATTCACGTGCGCACCCAGCATCATGTCATGCAAAAGCGTGTTTTTCCAAGAGTGATACATACCATGTGCGAGGAAGCATGCAATGGCTCCAAACGGCGCGCTATATATGTACGCGTGGAGACCTGACCAGGTGGATCCTATCCTACCGTTTATCTTACCGTCTTCGTGTTGTCGTCGATCAGGGGCCGGCATTCCTCTCGGGAAAAGGACTACACAAACGAGTGGGTATCGTCAATCAAGACGACAACGGTCCTCTTCAGTGACCTATGTGACTTCCCCGCGGCAGCCGCGCCCCCGTCGCGCGTTTCGAACTTACACACGCGCAAGCGAATCGAGATCTCCGAAATCTCCGAAACTGGCCGGGGTTCAGCGGATTTTCGCGGGCGGTTGTCTTGTCAGGGGGCACCGTGAATGAACGCCACAACAGCGACCGGAGAACAGGGCGGAGAGAGCGGGAAACAAGGCAGAAGGGAACACCGGGAAACCAGGAGCTGAGAAGGGCGACCTTGTTTGCACGAGCACTCAAGGTGAGTTTGAGCGCGTTCGTGTGTGTCGGGTCCGGGGGCAGAGCATCCTTGGACAGGTTTTGTGGAGGAGCAGGGAGAGACAGGAAGTGTTTTTGTTTGTGGTACTTTTTAAGGATGGCTCTTTCGGCCCTCTTTGGCTCCTATGCGTACTCTCGTGCGCTCTCCGTGGCGCCGTTGTGTGTGTTCCCTCATAGGATCTGGCGTTGCTTCTCTGCTCACCTTTGTCACGTCAGAATTGTTTTTCTAGCTGGCATCTCGGGCCTCGTGCAGATGCGCCGTCCAACATGCTGATGTCTGTAGTAGTAGCAGTGCTGTTGCAGCCAGGGAGGGAGCCTCATTTCCATTTGCGGTGCTCTCCTCTGCGGCCACCCCAGAGAGTCTTCCCGTCAAGAAGCCGTGACGATAGCAAAGCTCCCCGCGGGGCCGTTTCTGTTGGCATCGCCGACAACGGTCCATGGGTATCACCCTCTCGTTCTCTCTCGCGCTCTGCGTGTGTGTGTCTCAGAACTAACTATTTCGGTTTGGTGAATGTGGTTCTGTTCCGAGCAAGGGAAAGCGACGGCCCCAGCTACAGCAGTATAGGGGTTGAACGTTCCTTTTTCAAAACGTCGTTGTTCATCAGAGTGTCTATGAATTTTCCGCTCTTTCGTAGAACGCACATGTCGCTGTTGCCGTTGTTGTGCTGGCCGCCGCTTTCCCTCCTCCAACGCACGCCGACACGCCCGCCGGACGGGAAGCCTGGTACTATGCTGTCTAGTTTTTCGGTGGTATTTCTCCTGCGGCCTCACTACCCCTCGTCGAAAAAATGTTTTCTGTCTCCGTTTGACATAAAGGCTGTTTTTCCATGGGTGGTATTCTGCAAATTCCGTGGAAAGTACTTTGCATTTGGAAAGCCGGCTCTAGCATCTCTTCCGAGCGTTGACGCAACTACCACCAGAGACGCCGCTGGGCGGGGGACCCCAACCCCTAATACTTCTGGAGTTGGTACTGTGATTGTCGGCCAACACGGACGGTGTTTTCCATTTCGACGGCAGCCCGGTGTCTTGCCTGCCCTACAGCAGTAGGTACAAGCAGTATTAGTGTCGAGCCCTCAATTGGCATCATCCACCACCACCACCACCACCACCACCACCCGCAAGAACATCCCGCCGCGTTCTCACCAACCGCGCTGTTGAGAGAATGCTGCTGCTCGCATGAGCACAACAACGGCAGAGGGTGCGTCTCACACGTCCGCTTCTGGTCTGGACCACGAGAACATGTCCTTTGTCAGCAGAACAGACGAGACCCCCGATGTAGTTAGACTGCAATCCGCTCCATCGACAGGTCATGCGGATCGAGTCCGGATCGACTCCCCGCTAGAAAGCAACAACGCCATGGAATATGCATACAGCAGCAGCGCATGCCACCATTCGGAACCTACCGTTGTTTTCCCGTTTGCGCGTATCTCGTTTCTCATTATCCTCTTGGGGATATAACCGACGTAACGCTGCTGATTTAGTTACGGCAGTGCAACTTCCCCTCGACCGAGCGCACCTGTGGTCATGGGTCAGGAAAAGGTTCTACTTGTACGCATTTACCATTCGATTGAGCACATTGTGATCATGGTCATGTTCTATAGATAAAATAACCCACGAACAACATTGTTGTACCTATTTAGTTCTACATTCTTCCAAAGTGTCAAGTAGCGCTCTGGTGCATGTTGTAGCCAAGACCAAGAACATGCCGCGCCTCATCAAGACGGGTGTATTGCCGCTCAAAGATGCATCCCCAGAATGCCGTAAATTGCGAAGTAATAATATTTGTTCGTCCAGCAAAGCGCCGAAAAATGGGGACTCGGTTGTTTTAGCTTATTCCGTGCATACACCCGTAACGAAAACAGACCCGCACTTCCCTCTTGCCAGCTGTTGTATTGCTGTTTTTGTCGACATCCAGAAAATAGCATGGGCATCACATCAATCTTCTGGTGTTACCGTTTCTGCCTTAAATGCGGAGAGTACCTTATTGCCTCCCTCCCCCCCCCCCCGGCGGTCGCAGGTCCTGGCCGTTAAAATCATTTTCTCTTTTCATCCGCTCTGAGCCTGGCGTCTTTCATTGGTCAGCCAGTTGGCTCGGTCGATGCTAGTACCGACACACCACACACACACTCACAGGGCCATCATGGCCTTCAAACATTTTTTGCAGTATAACGAAATCCATCTCTATAAGTTTGATGTATGGATACACACACATGTCTTCGCAATGATGTACAAGTACGGTTCGTAGCGTTAGCAGAGACACCTTTCCCGTACTTCTGGGTGTTCTATTGTTAGCCGCCTTGAGACTGGCACGTTTTGACTGTTGAGCCGGTTTGCACCGTGGATGCAAAGCATTATGTGGCAAAATAATACACTTACACCTTGCTCAGTTCACCTTGTTCCTTGCTCGCCGTCAAGAGCGCTCTCAATCCTGAACTCAACCAAACCCCCCAGCATGAGCGGCGTTGTGCTGTTTCGTATCAACACTGGCGCGTGTGCATGATCACTCAAGATCCATCTCCCCGTGTGATGCTCTAGAAATAGGCGGCCATGAAAGGTGTTCGCCCAAAGCGCTGGCTGCACCTCACTCTCCACTCTGTTTCAAAACGTATTGTGGAAACCATATAGTTTTGTATCTTATTGTCCTTATAATGTTATAGTTTGAAACAGAGTGATAGTCTGCCTCTTATCCATCTCTGACTTTCCAGATTGCGGGTTCGAATATCTCTCCAAGTACCATAGCCGCTATATGAGGCGTGCCAATTTTTTGCCAGGCACTTTATTTTGTTTTGTGTCCTTGTAACAGCAGCGTACCGCTGTTTTATTCGATTTTTTTTTTTTCTTGGGGTGCTCAACGCCGGAAAAGTCCCGGGCGCGTGCCAGCAGTACACTGTTGGTATGGAAATATTTTCCCCGGCTTGGAGTTCCAACATGCCATTATAGTCGAAACCCTCCAAGGGGCACAGCACGACCTGCTGCGAGCAGGGTTGGAAAACGCAGACTAACTCGCTTGGCCGTCAACTTTTAGTGCTCGCCTCTCCAATACCTTTCACCCACTTGACCGTCGCCTTTCAGTGCTCGCCTCTTTATTACGTTCCGGTGGCTGTGACGGGCGGGGCATTCTAACTGTTAGCTTGAAGAGGAGAGTTTCTTTGAGGCGAGCATTCTGCGACAAAGCTAGTTGGTCTGCCTTTCCGAGAAACTACTGTTGTCTCCGTCTGCCTGCCCAGTTGTGGGTTTCAGACTGGGAAGGCGTGATACACCGAGATCCCGTTCAGAGAAGAAATAAAAAAATACACAACAACGGACCTGTCGCTAGATGCTTCAATGCATACACCTACCAAATTTGTACGCCGAGTAGCATGCATGCATACCCGAAAATAACAGACCTGGTGTTTTTGGGAGAACTCTATTCGAGCAAGGCCGACCTTCCAGAAAGGTCACGTGAGAATCATTTGGTGCGCATGTTTGCCAAGAACTTGCTCGAGGTTAGGGGCCACGTAGCTTTTATTAGGGTATGTTCTTGAATGTGTGCTTGCTAGCGGGGCTCCTCCCTTCCGCAACTATTTACACACCCTGCCCTTCCGTCCTCTCGTCGTGAATTATTCCGAAAAAAGGGACCCGCCGGGGGGCCTGTGGATTGGATTGGTGCTTTGGGGCCTGTGTGTGTGCGCGTGCGTGGGGTGTCCCTCTGCTGCTGCTGCTGCTGCAGGGAGACTCTCTGCCGTGGCGCTGTTGTCCCAGAGGAAGCGCAAGGTCTTGAGAGCAGGCAGCCGGCGGCGGCGGCGACCTTGAGAGGAACGGGTACAGCTCGCGAAGAACAAGAAGAACAAGGCTCTTGGAACGGGCGACGGGGGTTCAAGCGCTTTGGTTTGATTTGATTGGTTGGTAGGGGACACGGAAGGATGTCGCTCGAGTCGGGGCAGCTGGTGTTCGTCAAGGACGAGGTGGAGGGATGGCTCCCCGCGACGGTGGGGGCCACCAACGGCCAGGGGGAGGACATGTCGCTCGAGCTCGTGCACGAGGACGGACGAACTGAGGTGCGCGGCGTTTTTCCTTGTCGTAGATTCTGCTGTGTTGGCCAATCAAATTTCCTTCCTCGGCAAATCATGCCGCGTTTTTCCTTATTCCTGTTGTCGTGGATTCTGCTGTTTGACCCATCAAATCTCCTCCCTCGGCAAATTATGCCGCGTGTTTCCTTGTTCCTGTTGTCGTAGATTCTGGTGTTTACCCTTTTTGCGGAAGTTAGCCTGTGGCCACGAAACCCGTCCGTCGGCGTCGGCTGTACTCGGTACGGACGCTAGAAGGTACTGAGCAGAGAATTTGTTATAGAAAGGATTTTTTGTCACGACAGCAACAACAAAAGCAGTTGGTGTTGAACACGGGGACATGCTGGAAAGCCAAGAACAAGAACAAACGGTAGTAGAGCTAAGGTCTTGGAGGCCATCACTACCATCTCTAATATTCTTCGCGGCGAGAAACAGCGACAAGAGAGGGAAGGGGGGGGAGGATGTCGTTTTTTCTGTTACTGCTGGAATCTGCGGAGTGTCGGGTGATTTTTACCGGTTCGTTAGGGTCCCTGTAGTCGGAGGCGGACACCCTTCTTCTGCGATGCGTCAACAGCAGTATTCAGAACGAGAGAGCGGGTTCAAGCACCGGTAGGCTAATAGAGAGCATGTGCGTTTGAGACCGTTACACATGTTGGTTGTTTTTTTTCAGCTTAAGCAACATGGACACAATGTGGGGGGGGAAGTGTCTGCGCCGCCATGTCGTGGGACATAGAATATCGCGTGTTGCTCCTCGCCCGTGCTACTACTCCGGTGCTTTTTTCGAGCGAAGCTCGCTCCACCCGACGTCGCTTGCCGAAAGCAGCAGCTATCGATTGATTGTTGTTTGTCGTTGTTGTCTTCGCATTAAAGCTGTTCGGTGTCTGCTCAGTAGTATGGTACCTGCTAGCGTCTGTGGTACGTAGTGCCTAGCGCGGTGTTGTGGATATGCAAATGGAGCTGTTGTGCGGCGGGCGCTTCAACGGTTTGTGGGTGGTGTGCTTGGCTGCTGCTACATATGAGTATGCATATCTACTGCGTGAGTGTCAGCACGACAAAGACGACAACATCATGCTTGAGCAAGTCGTCTGCTGATAGCTATTAGTAGCAGGACGTGAATACCCGTTTCTACCCACACGCGCCGAACAACTGGCTCTCACATTCAACTCCTTTCTTTTTTTTTTGCAGTAGTGGCCGGCCAATCAGATGACAACAAAAGTAATCGAGGAGTGTCCAGCGGAATTCGACAAAAACGTACCAAAAATCACCCGCACATTATGAAATAATTGCCTCACCTATGCATTTGCAAATAATTTAGGAATGCTTTTGAAGTAATACTGTATCGACTTTAATGCGTAAAACTCGTGTAACTTGACTTTTTTTTTTTTGTCGCTGTTTTCTTGGCTCGGTCTATCAGACGGTATCCAAGGTGTCGGACGAGTGGCTGCAGCGCGGAGACCCTAGCTGCCTGAAGGGAGTGGAGGACATGGTAAAGATGGACATTCTTACCGTGGGTTCGGTACTGCACAACTTAAGGTACAGCACAACTTGACGTACAGCACAACGTGACGTACAGCACAACTTGACTTACAGCACAACTTGACGTACAGCACAACTAAAGGTACTGCGCAAAATTAGGTGCAGCATAACTTAAGGTACAGCACAACTTGAGGTACAGCACGACTTGAGGTACTGCACAACTTAAGGAAGAGCACAACTTGAGGTACTGCGCAAAAATTGGTGCAGCATAACTTGAGGTACAGCATAACTTGAGGTACAGCACAACTTGAGGTACAGCCAGCAGGAGGTCTTGTGGACGGATGTTCGGATGACATGTTTGCGCCCTGGGCTGCTTCCGAGTTTTTCCCCACAAGTTTCTTGCGGCCAGCCAGATCTCTTTGCACCACCGTGCGGTCGAATACGTCAAATGGAACACCGTGGCTGCTACTGTTGGCTGTGTTGTGATGGACTGTTCCTGTGACCAACCTGTCTGCGATGTGGAAGTTGTCTGTTGCGTTGTTGGCCTTTGTATGTCTATGTGTATGCCTGTACCTTGATTGGTCGAGCCCCTGCTGCGATGTATCCACCAGCAAGACCTACGTACCCTCTTTTGGGTACGGTGGCGGCTACGGTTTTAAGAGAGGTTCGTGACAAGCCAGTATTTCTCTCTTAAATCCGGTTTTTCTCTTGAACCGTACTGCTGTGGAATGTATGTGCTTCTCATGGTCGTGACAAACCAGTGTGACTCTCTTACATCGGTACTTTCTCTTAAATAGTCTCTTCTTAAACCGTAGCCGCCACTGTAGCCGGTCCTGTAACCACGAAAGTCTTTCCGCGTCAGTTTGACGGGTGCTACGAGTACATCACGCGGCCGGGCAAGATTGGAACGGGTTTCAACGTTGAAAAACGACAAACACAAAGCACAAGCACACCCACACTTCATCGCCAACGAATCAAGACTGTCAAGGATTCAACGCATCCCCTTCGACTGTCGTTGTGTCTCGAACGGGTACTGTAGTCTTTCTGTGTTTACTACCACATGGCATATATTCTTCAATAAATATTGTAAAATTGCCAACAACAGCCTTACCGACAGATTTTTTTTTTTGGCTTTTTACAAACCGCAGGACTCGGTACGCCAACCAAGACATCTACACCTCCGTGGGGTCTATCCTGGCCGCCATCAACCCGTACGTGCTCATCCCGTCGCTGTACGACGAGAACTGCATGAACCTCTACGCCAACATGGCGACGGACGCGGGCGCGCCGCCTCACCCGTACGAGCTCATGGAGCTTGCTTACAGGTGCGCGTGTGTATATATGTTTTTTGCTTGCGCGCCGCCTCACCCTTACGAGCTCATGGAGCTTGCTTACAGGTGCGCGTGTGTATATATATTTTTTTTTTTTCTTGTCTTCGTTATTTGCATCGTCCGCGCTAACCGGCTGGCCAATGAAAAGACGTCCGTCTCGGCGCGGTTGAATACAGAAAAGGCTTCTAAAGGCTACGATCTGGGCCCATCTGCAACCCGATGGGGGGCGTCATGTTGTGTGTATTATTGATAGCATCGTCCGCGCTATAACCGGTTGGCCAATGATAGACGTCCATCTCACTGCGGCTGAAAGCGGAAACGGCTTCTACATGGCCATGTGATGAGGCGCGCACGTGTGTGTGTTCTTAGTAGCATCGACCGCGCTCACCGACTGGCCATTGAATAGGCGTTAGTCTCAGTGCGGTTGAAAACGGAAAACGCTGTCTAAATGGCGATGATTTGGGACTCCGTGAGGGGGTTATTGTGGGGGAGGCTAGGCTACTCTCCGGATTTATGACAGAAACGTTTGCAGATGAAGAAGATATGTGTGTGCGCGCGCAACGGCGCCGCTGGAATCATTCGGGAGGGGCCAGAGCGTGGGATTCGCGTCAACGAAGGTTGTTGTGTATCTCGAGGGTCTTAGCCCAACCCTCGCTGCCCTTGGTCGTGCCAGTCGAAAAAGTAACCAGCAGCTGATTGCAGCGAGGTGGTGTGATTCAATGAATAGATGTCGCAAGGCGCATCATGCAGGCCGCGAAAAGAGCCGGCATCCCCCACCTTTGTTATTGTTTTGGCGAGGATCTGGTGCGATAGCAACGACCGACCGACAGCGAGTTTGCTGCACATCTCTCTCTTGTTGTGACCGCTCGCATGGACGACTGCTTTCGGACCGACCCCCCAGTTGCGCAACGCGCTCCGGTACTGCTGTATCGGGCTATGTGTTGATCGACCGCTACTCTTTATCTACGCCGCGCAGTCATAATCACGTCCGTCTGTGTCCTTTTCTGTTGTTGCGGCGGCTCCTGCTGCTGCTGCTGCTGCTTCTTGTTCTGCCGCCGCGGTCGCCCCGGATTGACAGGGGGCTCATCACCGACCATCGCAGCCAGTCCGTGCTCATCAGCGGAGAGTCCGGGGCAGGAAAAACAGAAACCACCAAGTACCTCCTATCGTACCTGTCGCACCGCAGCAGCACCATGGAGAAGGAGCGGAGGGAGGCGGTACCCAGTGTTGAGCAGGCAATCCGTGGGGGCGGGGGGGGGGCGGGGGATGGGGAAGGGGGGGTGGGGGGGGGGGGCCCCTCCGGGAACGGGCGAAGGGGCTCCGGGAAAACCGGAATGGGATGGGCGGGCGGGAACGAAATTTTTTTGGGGGTTTTTGGGGTAAATTGGGTAAGGAGGAATTTTCCCCCACCCCCCCCAAAAGGTGCCCCAAGCCCCCTCTCTTTTTTTTTTCCCCATTCTGGGGATTTTTTTTTCCCGTTTGGCCACCCCCCCCTTGTAAAAAAACGTAAAAAAATTTTCCCCTTTTTTTTTTTTTTTGGGCCCGTCGACCCCCCCGGGTTTTTTGGAGAAAACTCCCTTTTTTTTGGTTTTTTTTCCTCTGTTTAGAAACCGGGGCCCAACCAAGGCCCATTACCAGGGCTTTCAAGGGACCCCGGTGGGCGCGAAAATTTTTTCTTTTGGGGGGGTTTATTTAAAAAGGGTTTTGGGCCCGAAACCCCCCCCCCCCCCCCCGCGCACGTCGTTCATTGGTTGTCCACATTTGGCACGGCACGATCGAAACATCCGAAATCGTTTCTTTCTGCAAGAACGCAACTGCTTGTTCAACACAGGCCCTTCAAGCACCACCACCTCGCGCCCGTGAAGTCTGCCAGGGTGATGCTACGTAGTCATACGGTATTTACTCGCCCTTGTGTCTGCTCTCTCATGTTCCTGTGGAGCACTTTGTTGCTGTTGAACACCGTCGCTAAGCTCATCGCCACCGCCTTTTTTTTTTTTTCCTCTCCTTTTTGTTTTTCCTTTTCTTTGCCGTGTGCCGTTTCGTTTGTTTTGTTTTCTTTGCAGCGGCGCAATAGCATCGGGGGGCGTTTCAGCGTGGAGGACAGCGTGGTGATGTCGAACCCCGTTATGGAGGCGTTCGCTAACGCCAAGACCACCCGCAACCACAACTCGAGTCGCTTCGGAAAGTACATTCAGGTGAGGAAGGGTGTCGCGCACTGCTGCCGTGCGAAAATGGACAAGGGAGAATGCTCCTGTTGAGGTTGATGGCACAGCAGTACACGCAGCTTCTACAACACCACTCTACTATTGATATTGCATCAGAGGATGAGGGTGAATTGGCTCCCGAGGCGAACGTCACTCTAATATTCATACAACGATAATGTTAGGCAGGTATTCGGTGTGTATTCACAAGATATACCCGCCCAGATGGTATCTTGATGGCATCTTGCGGTGTGTTTTCACAAGATATACCCGCCCAGATGGTATCTTGATGGTATCTTGAGTCCCAAAGGTCCGAGAGGGGGGGGGGCGGTGGGCAGAGGTTTGGGTTTGGTGTAGGGACCCCGACATGACAAAGAATCTACTGCTATGTATGTAGACAATGGTGTAGACGAACGTCGAAAACAGGCAGCAGCACGGGAAACAAACAAAACATCTGCTATGGACACCACTGCTACTACTAGTACTATTACTAAAGAGAGACTTCTCCTACAGATACTTCAAATAAACCGAGAAACCAAACCCAAAACCATACCACGACGAACGTCTAGAACAGGGAGCAGCACGGGAAACAAACAAAACATCTGCTATGGACACCACTACTCCTAGTACTGCTACTAAGGAGAAACTGCTGCTACAGATACTTGCATGACTGAGAAACCAAAATCCAAAAACTAAACTAGTATGTAAAATGAAAGCTAATAATGTTCAACCACGTTACCGCAATGACGATGACGATGGCGACAGGTAACCCTTCACGCTAGCGGCGTGGTCACCGGAGGCCGGGTGACGACCTACCTGCTCGAGAAGACCCGCGTGGCCAGACAGCTCGCGGGCGAGCGCAGCTACCACGTCTTCTACCAGCTGTGCCAGGGGGCGGACGACGACTTGCGGGCTCGCCTCGGACTTAAGGAAGCGGCGGAGTTCCGATCCCTGGTAGAGTTTTTTGTGATTTTCTTTTTTTTTTCTTTTTTTGCCGAGATGGTTTGCCGTGGATGCATAACAGGCCGGTTTTTGTGTCGGACGTGTTATCTCTGGGTCTCTGGTGACTGTACTATGGCAGTGTACTGATCCCCCCCCCGATTTTGTAGGGATGCGAGGTCGATGGTCTAACGACCACGGCATGGACGACTATGAGTACACACCCCATACATAGACCAAATGAGGTCTCATTGGAAGGGGCGTTCTTTGAGGAGACGGTGTTTGGTATTTGCTGGGGGACGAGGGGGGCGTTGGAGATCGTCGTAGCGCCCGATTGCTGTTTCTCGATGACAGTTGGAGTCGCGCTTTCGATCTGAATCACACACACACCTTCCTATGGTAACAAAGACTTGTGTCTCTTTGCGCTCGATTTTGCGGGCCATCCAATCGATGGACTTGCGTCTCTTCCTCGACATGCGGGGCCCCCCTCAGTAGACTGATCTCTCTCTCTCTCTCTCTCTCTCTCTCTCTCTCTCTCTCTCTCTCTCTCCCTCGATGTTTGCTGGGCAAAATATCAATCGATCGACGTTGTTATCGTCAGACCGGTGGAGGCTGCGTCGAGATCGACAGCATGGACGATGCCGAAGGCTTTTCGGAGACGGCGAGGTGCATGGAGAGCATCGGTATTGGCTCCGAGGCGAAGGAGGGGGTGTTCAGGGTAAGCTGATGTTGTTGTGGGGCGGGTGGAATATTGTTTGGTGCTGTAGCATTTTTTTTATTATTATTGCTGCTGCTGCTGTGGGGCGGAATGTTGCGCAGCACCATTGCGTTTTGTTTCGTTTGTTCTGCTGCTGCTGCTGCTGCTGCTGCTGTTGTGTAGCTCCACTGTTTGGTGGTGTGCTGATGCTGTTGCTGCCCAAGGTAGTTTTGTTGACGAATTCAAACAATTCCACCCTTTGCGTGACACTCTTTTTCAGGTGGTCGCTGCCGTTCTGCACCTCCTGAACGTAGAGTTCGATATGGTGGACATACCGGGCCAAGACGTTGGTTCAAAGGTGTGTAACCGCGTCTTACCCCACGCGTATCGATTTATTTTTTCTGTTATGGCGGAATCCTTGGAGGCATGCCTGCTGTGTGTACTTACCCAACCCTTGTACCTGGCACAATAATGCTGTCCGCCGCCCGTGTACCGCGATTTTTTTGCTGGTCAGCGAGGAGGGGGATTACTCGAAGACGAAAATGCGGGGTGATTGAATTTTGAGGTATTTTCCTGTGTTTTTGCTGCTGGGACACCCAACCCTACCAACCCCCGTGCATCTTGCGCGATTTTTTTTGCTGGTCCAGCGAGACGGGGGATTGCTCGAAACGATACTGCGGTGTTTGTCTTGTAGTATGCACATGAGGGAAGAACCCCCAGCAATGATTTTGTAAGGTGATTTCAACGCCGAATGAATTTGGAGGTAGTTTCTAGTGTGTTCACTGCTGTAAACACCCACGCTTACCTTTGCCGTCCGCCCCTGTTTACCACGATTTTTTTGCAGGTCAGCGAGAGGGGGGAGGACTCTAGCCTGTCCTGGGCCTCGAAGCTTCTGGGGGTGAAGCCGGACCAGCTGGAGGAGGCACTGGTGGCCCGATTCATTAACCCCGGGGGATTCGGCTCCTCCGACTTTGTGGTGGTGCCCAGCTCGCCCCTGGTGCGATTACGTAGCGAGTAGCCATCAGGATGAATCTGGGAAGAGTGTCACGCGCTTACATTCGTTGACCCTTTGCTTAAGAGTCTAGCACGTTGCCACGCCTGGCGTTTCCTCGCCAGAGAGACGAACACGCGGTTGCCGTTATATACCATTGCGGTATTGCTTCCTCAAAACCAAAAGCTACAAGACACCCAATGCCAAAACCAAACACACGCAAGCTGCAGATATCAACATGAAAAAACACGGTTGGAAAATATCGGTATGAGGAAGTAATGCCGGAGGTGGAGGAAGAAATCCACGAAAGAGGAAAACCCGCGGTTCATGTCGCCGGTAGTGGGTCCCCGAAACTGAAAATTAACCAAACCGAAACACATTGTTGACGTTCCTTTTGGGGGTTTTGTTGTGGAAACAGGTGGCGGCGTCTGCGCGGGATGCTGTGGCCAAGGCTCTGTACTCGTCGCTCTTCGACTGGCTGGTGGAGAAGATCAACCTCACGCTGACTGCCGCCATGAACTCCAAGACTGCCGCGAACACGAGCAACAGGTATGTTGGATGCCTTGTTGTGTTTCGTTGGCGATTGTTGTGTTTTGTCGTTGTCGTCGTCGGGGTTGCTGGCGTTGCTGCAGGTACGGCTGGCGACGACGTGTTGTTTGTTGTTGCCGTCGTTTATGGCGCTGCTGGTCCTGGTGCTGGTGCTGGTGCTGGTGCTGGTGTTGTTGTGCCTTGTTATTTTTGGGAGTGGTGACGATGTTTGTGGTCGGACTGCACTCATCCCACCCTTTTTTTCTTGTTTTCGTTAATGTTTATTTTCATTTCCCCCGCGAAAGGTTCATCGGACTCTTAAATTCTTGTAATATTTTCATCAACCCCTGGGTACTCTGTGTACTGGATACTCGTGGATTGGTCGGACTCATCTCACCATTGCCGTTTTTCCCTGCGGAAAGGTTCATGGGACTGCCAGACATCTTGCACGTTCCACTGGGCTCGGGCTGTGGCACACACACGTCTCTTTTCGTTAGTTTTGTTTTTCCATTTCTCTGGCTACACGCAGGGGAACTTAGAGCCAAAATTAGTTACCGAAGTATTTCACACAGTCAATGTGCGATTCCAGCATCGGGCACACTATACCTATCATCGTTGTTTTTGCCCTTTTGTTTCTCCTGTGTAAAGGTTCATCGGACTGCTGGACATCTTCGGGTTCGAAGCTTTCGGCACTAACTCCCTGGAGCAGCTTCTCATCAACTACGCCAACGAGAGGCTACAGCAGCAGTTCAACGCCTTCGTCTTCAAGCTTGAGGAGGAGGAGTTTGCCAAGCAGGGCCTGAGCAAGGTGTGTCTTTCGCTAATGAGATCAAAGCGATGAATCATGGCCGCCTCAACACGGTGTATCTGTTGGTTCCGTCTTCTGCCTTTGGTCCTTTGCTGGTGAAATCAATATGACGAATCAAGGCCTGAGCATGGTGTGGCTGTTGGCTTTGTCTCCTGCTTTGTGATATTTAGCCTGGACCAGTCTTTTTAACCGCAAAGTGCAGGATGAGTACTGTATGCGTAGGGGCCTCCACAAGATATGTGTGTGTGTGTGTGTGTGTTTGCTTTTGCTACAGACTATTATTTTGTCTTCGCTAACCTCAAAACGACGAACCTGGGTCGCAACAAGATGTGTTTGTGGGGTGGTTTCATGTTTTTCTCTTTGGTCTTTCGCTGACACCAGGCGTTGCTATCTACAAGTATCACCAAAGCAATGCTGTAGGCGACTCGGGGCCACAGCACAGGGTCTCTCTTTTGCTGGGCCTGAGTTTTGGTTTCCTTTGTCGTCTCTGCATCCCAACTCGAACGCGACCACGACGAACACACGCAGGTATACGTTGAGCACTGCCGGGTGGAGTTCGCCGACAACGACGACGTTCTCCGGCTGCTGGAGGGCAAGCCTCAGGGCATCCTGTCCCTTCTCAAGGAAGAGTCGACTCTCAAGACGGGAACGGGGCTCAAGCTGGGCAAGCGTTACCGCCAGGCCTTCAAGGGAAACGACCGATTTGCTCTCCCAAGGTATGGCACGATACCGCACGGTACGGTACGGTACATCCGTTCCACGGTTCCATTGCTGATCCGTGGCACGGCGGTTGCTACTGCGGAATGTGCGTGTTGTACTTTCGGATATATCTCAAGTTTGTTCATGAACGAGAGTGTTAATAATGAGCGGGAGAGCGGTAGCACTAGGGAGTGGTGTACACTAGGACCGTAGGTGAGAGACATAAGACACCACGCACCCTGAATCGATGTTCAGAGATGGATTGCTCGTCAGCAGAAACAACAAGACGGACCCCGTATCTCCCCCCGCTTGGAACCAAGCGGCTGTTTGTTTCCCTCACGAACAATCGCGACATCGCTCATTTAAATCGTGACATCACACATTCAAATCATGGCGTCACTCTTTCAAATCGTGACGTCACCCATTCACATCGTGACGTCACTCGCCGCACAGAGCGAGAGGGGGAAGCCGGGCGGGTACGGAGGCGACGTTCGGGATTGTACACTTCGCCGGAGAGGTGATCTACGACGCCACGGAGTTCGTGGAGAAGAACAAAGACGAGGTGCCCACGGCCCTCCACGACCTGGTGCTCAGCAGCAACGACAGGTGAATACCCCCCCCCCTGTCATCCGTACGCAAGGAAGTAAGCACAAGATGCCGAACACCCTTAGCAGGATGCAGCGCACCCTCCGTACGAATCGCCGAATGTCTCACGGCGCTTCGCGCTTGGTGATGTGAGAGCCTGGTCCGGTGAGAACCCGGCGTGCGCCGTCCCGGCTTTGTAGGGATGCGACGTCAGTGGTTTAACGACTACGGCATGCCCGACTATGAGTACCCCCCCCCCCCCCCCCCCCCCCC